ATGGAGAGAAAGTGATTTGAACAAGAAAAATGAGTTAGCATCCGAAAAATCCGGGTGTTACATAGGCTCAAACCTAGACCTTTTAGGTGGATACCTTTATAATTAAGCGGGTGTACATGGAATTATGTTCAGTCTTTAATAAGTCCGTCTCTATTGGATTGTTTTACAATATGAAACAACACTACATTGTTCTCGTTAACGGCAATGTGTTGTTACAGAGTATAAAAAATATTTCATTGTTAAACTCATGTGCTATTTCACAGTATTAAACAACACTATATTGTTTCACTTCAATGATATTGTGTTGTTTCATATTATGAAACACATGCGTTGTATTTTGTTTCATAATGTTAAACACTTCAATGTTCAACCCATTATATAATAAATATAAGAGTAACCATGAAAATCTTTACCATCAACATTCAGCAGTAACCAAATAGAAAAATTCTACGATTCTTTCTGCAATTTCTCAAGAAAAACGACTTAATCATGACAATTATAAACTTCAAATTCACCGCACAACCTCATGTTACATGTTTTTCATCATGAACAATAACCAAAACATACAAATTCTAGGGGTTTTTTTTAGTAATTTCTATAAATGAACAAGTTTCCCGGAAAGCTATCGTAATAATAATATTACAAAAAGCCATTGCACAAACCTATCTTACAACTTTCTCCAATGATGATATACATGTTCTTCGTATATCAACTCACGAAACATATTAAGAGAAGAGAGAAGGAAGAATGAAGATACAAGGAAAAACTAAATGGGAGATAATTACTGAATATAATTAATTTCTGGTGATTTTTTGAATGTATGTGTAGTCCTAAGTAGAAACTCGGTTATTACTTTGTAACCGGGTAGGTTTATAAAGTAACCGTACCCAGTGCATGCTTCCTAACCAAGTACAATTACTTCTTAATGGTACATGGATTGCTTCTGTAACTGGGTGATTCATTTATTTAGACGTGAATTTTTAAACCAAATGCCATTTTTTTTTTGGGTACATTAATAGTTCACACCCAATTTCTCAACAAATGCCATTAGTGAAGCAATCGAGTAGATTTATATAATGACACTCGATTGTACAACATTAGCGCTTTTAATCGTCCCCGCCCCACCGTACCCAGCTATGCCTACGGGTACAATTTATTTGCTATACTAGGGAAAGCCTTCACTTCATTAAAATACTTCTACTAAGTTTCAAACCAGCTTGCCAACATTTTATATAATGTTGTAGCAATTCAGCATTGCATCAACATTTGACAATGCCCTTTAGGCTTCAATAATCTAATTGTTTGACCAAAATCTCATCTAATAATGTTGTAGTGTGCACCTTTATGTTCTTGTCATGTTACCACTTATGAATCTTATCTATACTATATTATAAACCATTTGATAAAAACTCTTAAAAATCGTTTTTTATGCATGAAGTACTGTTTATTGATGTATATTACTTAAAATTCAAGATTACAAGTAAGTTGTGCATAAGTACAACTTATTAAAGTTTCATATTTGAATTCATTTAATTAACTGTCGATAAACATAATCAAATAAAAGATAAACATCTCATTTTAAATATAAAAAATCTAAAATATAATTAGGATAATCATTGAGTTTTAACAAAATACTTCATTATTATCTCTATAAAAAAATTATATTATTAAACAAAAAATAAATGGCTTCAAAATTAAATTATAATAAAAAATTGAATTAAGGAAATCACAAAAAAAAAACAAGAACTTTTAAATATTAAAGTTGATACATTTTTTTCAAAATTTTATGATACCTTCAAATTTTATACTTTATTCAAAAAATAAAAACATTATCGTTTTTTCATTACCACATAAAATCGTATTATAACATCGACGTTGACAAAATAAAACGAAACATCAAAATTGAGATGTATCTCACTGCATTGCGCGAGTACTCTTCTAGTTCATCATAATTGGTATCTAGCAACACCATTACTACCTAAATAACGAATAATTAAGTGATTCAACCAATTGTTAATTCACATAGCCACCACAATCTCCGATTTCTGATCTGCAAGTTGATTGAATAACATATCTTCATGTCATATATTGACCATATAAACATGCATGAATTTCTTCAAACTCATTCTATCAATGGGCCAAGAGGCACTACTGCTATCGTACAAGGACAAATCATGCATCTGATAATACAACTCCCACCACATGATTCTAGCGAAAACTTTGTCACTCAGTTATAACGTTGATTAAATGTAGCATTAAAGTTTACAACTTACCATTTAGATTTCTTAGCTATTAATCAAGCCACATCACGTTATTATATAATGATAACATGAGAAACATTTATGACATCTCATATGGTGTGGTACACAAGTTCACCAACTTGTATCTATATATGTAAACTCCATATTTAACCATATGGATTCCTATATATGCTAATCTCAACATTACTATTTCAATCCAAGCTCAAAGTAAACACTAGACAATTTATGATTAAGGGGTTGTTCACCAACTAGTTATTTCTTGTTAAATCTATGGTTAAGAGGTTGTTTAATTGATTTTCCATTAAATCCTACATGCTTTAAGTTGCCTTAATAGGTTAAGTCTTATGTATGGATTTGTTAGGATCCAAGCGCTTACCACTAGGCCAAAAACAATTGTTGATGGAGAAGGCACAACTTATTTTCTTATAACATAGCAGTGAGCGCCACGTTTCGATTTAGAAAGATGTTGGTCAATGACCCAACAATTCCCCCTCCCGGCATCTGCCAGCACTGACAAGATCTTCGCTAGAAGACAATGGCTGCATAGCATGCCTTTGGCATTATTATGCACCTCATGGGATTCGAACCCATGACCTGCTCTGATACCACATGTTAGAATCCAAGCGCTTACCACTACGCCAAAAGCAATTGTTGATGGAGACGGTGCAACTAATTTCCTTATAGGGTAACAGTCAACGACACGTTTCGATTTAAGAAGATGTTGGTCAATGACTCAATAGGATTTAACTAAATTGTTGTTCACTTGTTTATGTTGAATAAACAGTCTAAACGATAGAAATTATTATTTTCCCTTTGGTTTATATTTGGGAGGAGTATATCCAAATCAGGAGTGATAGAACCAAATCAAGAGGTGATGCTATGGCAAGGAACTGGTGTGAGAGAGGCACGACAATGACGACGGAATAGATTTGCGATGGGAAGAGGGTGACGGGTTTGAGAGTGTTTGGTCAGAGAGATAAGGCTTCTTTTAATTTAGATGTGGATTATTTGACAAGCGCATTGAGATGAAAAAATGGATTTAATGGATGCAAGTGCAATTTTTTGAGTGATCGAATAAGCCATCAGCCGACCCATTATACCACAACTGAAAACTTTTTGTATAGCTTACCCAATAAGCCATAAAGCTTATTCAGCCCATTATGCAGCAACCAAACTAACTCCTAAGAGTTTTCCTCATTAAGCTTTCTTTATCTGTCAAACCCATGTCTACTATGATTGCTTGCAGAAGCCATGGTCTCTTTAATTTAACTACATCCTTTCTTTATAAAAAGAAAATGGTAAAAAGTTTCATCATTTTTATCTTGCAACTACAGACTCAACATATGCAAAACATCTTCTAAAGTTCCTTAGAATCAATTTCATCACATCGTAACAGAATACTCCTAGATAAGGTACTAAAAAAAAGGCCAGACAGCTCAAACTGGTCCGCTTTTAACGGTTTGAGCAGTCTCGCAATCCGATCAAGTTAATGTTTGAACGTTTTTTTATTGGGTTTTAGAAGAACCGACAACCAAAATACACATGTATTAGTTATATTTAGTTTTATGTCGTAGGCTCAAATTTTATGGCCCAATTAGCAAAAACTCATCCAAGGCATTAAGTTTTTCGTTTTCACTTCTCAATTATTTCGTTCCCTAAATCAGCAAAATTCTAAAATCCGTCGAAAATCAAAATTGAAAATTTTAGATCGTCCTTCAACTTGCTCAGTGTTTGTCCAAAATTCCAACTATTATTTGTGGAATTGTTTAACCTTTTTCAACTTGTCCAATATTTTTTAATTTGAGAGATGGATGTTTTTTTTATAATTCGATATAATATTTTTATAATAATGTTATATTAGCAGAAATTTCATTTTTAAAATAGATGTTAAGTTTTTATAGTTTAAAGCCCATAATAGGCCCAAACCACCCAAACCGGTCAGACCAGACTGTCTTTTTGTAGTCCGATTTGTCACTTGTCAAACCAATCAGTTTGAAATTTTTCTAACCCGTCATTGCAGTTTAGTTTGTGGTTTTAAACCGCCCAAACTGGACAACGAACACCCCTACTCCTAGAGCTGCGACATTTTAAGATATGCAGAAGCAATTTTATGTTGTACCGCTTAAAAATATGAGCTAGTCTGCCAAACATATCTTTCTTGTCTAGGTTCAAAATCATGCTATACTTGTACATAGTACACCACAATGTACGGTTATGAAAGAGTTGAGTTGTAAACTACAATCGTTCTTGATGCTTTTAGTAATTAATACCAAGGATATCCTCTTGTGGCCACAGAGGTTCAAATGCGGTGACTTCGGGCTATCTGCAAAGCAGGTAGTCGTCTTGGGATTAGTCGGCTCGCATGGCGGGTTGGATATCCAGGTTAATCAAAAAAAAATTAATACCAAGGATATAGTAAGGCTAATCATCATAATATCGATCATGAAACTCATGGTCGCATTGCTCAAGTAAAGGAAAATTTTGGTGCATTTGATACATGGTGTGAACAAGAAGTTTTGTCATGGTGAGCTCCAATATTTTCTGAGACATGCATTTGTATACTACAAGAGGTGACTTTTCTGTGTTGTGGAAAATCAATGCTACAACGTATAAGTTGGAACCAAAGGGCCTTGGGCCTAGCGCTATGTGAGCCTAAATCAATGCCACAATGTATAAGTTGGAACCGAAGGGCCTTTGGCCTAGCGGTATGTGAGCCTTTGGCCTCCTAGAAAGTCAGGGGTTCAAACCTCACCAAAGGTGAGGAGGGTGGGTGAGTTTATTTGTTCTATTTACCGTATATAAATATTATATACTTCAAAAAAAAAAATGTACAAGTTGGAAATACTAAACCTTTAATCCAAGGAAATGTATCAGATGTTCACTTTACATACAAGTGAGGCAGGATACTTGCTCATAACTCGGTCTTGCTGCTGGTAGACGAGTACTGTGAAGCGACATCTTTTAATATTTGAATCACACCCTTCAAATCACTGCTACCCAATTCAAGGCAGTCCCTTAGCAACCCACCATCCACAATTTCTGTTCTTACCATCTCAACTGCATCCTTCAATGGACCCTACATAAAAAAACAATCAAGATATTCATTAGATTAGATGAATTGTTGAGATTGGTTTGTATAGTTTGTACTTTGTACTAATGGTTGAGTTTGTAAATGAAACCACCTCTCTCTCTCTCTCTACATATATATATATATATATGTGTGTGTGTGTGTGTGTAAAATCTTACATACATGCATTGAATAGCACCAAGATCCTTGGCTTTGAAAGGTTTGGAAGGACTGTCTTCGCACCTGGTGCTGGTGGGTTCCTAAAATTTAGTTATGTTAGGGTGCATTTGGTATGCAGATGGAACTAGACTAGATGGGCAAGAGTGAGGTAGGCAGGTGAAAAAACTGTGGAAGATTTTACAGTTTTAAAGTTGGCATGGATAGTTTAGTAATTTAGAAAGTTTGTCACCATCTTCCTGATTGTTGTTCCACTTATTTTGATGGGACAAAAAAATGCATTTTTATTTCACACAGTCATGTCCCAGTCTAATGTCACACCTAAAATAAGGTTAATTGAAAATTTCGGTCTGCTTATAGATTTAGATGGAAATTTACAAGATTCATAATTGGGAGAAACTTGGTGTTCCTTATCCGTGCATCTAAAGACCAGATATACAGAATGACGTTTGGGCAAATAAGGTATCTGTTTTTAGTGATTTGGTTCCATATGGGATTATATCTGACTACAAATACTAATTCACTTCTGGAGACGAGATTCATCAACTTTCAGTCGAGATGGAATAATTGAAAAGCAAGAACATACCATAGCTAGTTCACCATACATCAAAACGAGCAAATAGTGGTGGTTTTGGAAAAACTAGTTTGTGAACATGATAGACCATGACCATCTAACAATCTGATCAAGAAACAAATACCTTCCTACTATGTATGCCACAGAGAAGAGTAACTATATGCACACAAATGCATACATACAGACTTACATGCATATGTATATACAAACAGAGACTTACAAAAAAACATGTATGATGTAATTAAATTCAGGGGAGTGATGGATCACGACTGCTTGTTGAAACACTCTTAGTCACTGGAAACAGATGTCCCCCGTGTGAAAGTACCAATTGGAAGTTATGAAGCCCAAATAGGATCATCTTGTAAGCTATAAACATTGGAAGTTCTAATAGTCCATTTATACACTTGAATACTCCCATACAGCCTACTCAACATTCATCATCATAAATATCCTGGAGTTCCTAATTTCATGCTTTCGTTTTTGAATCAATACATATTTATGTGATTCAAAGCTCAATAGGCAAATAAAGGCCAGGCCTTGAGGATGATCCTCATTGATTGAGGATTTTTAGTGGTTGTTATCTTCAGGCCCCATGGGATTAGTGGAGGTGAACAGAAACTGGCCCACAAAAAAAATAACTATGGACAGTGAGGTACACATTTCTAAACGTGTCAAATCTGCATGGAGTTCGCCTCTTTAGGTCCCAATGTCATTTATTTCTCAAAACCCAATTGAGCTTCACCTCTTTATTCACTCAATCACATCTCACCGTCTTAGAATTTCTAAGAGGTTCATTCTTTACCCACCTCAACTAGCTTCAAAGGATTGTTTTTGTAATCTTCGTCTTCAATACCAAGTTTCCAACAAAGAAAATAGTAACATCACTTGCATTTGAAACCCGTTTGAACCTCAAACCAGACCAAACAAACCCAATATATTCCACAAGTGGGTCTACATGAGCACAAATAACCAGGTTTTGAGCCCTTGTGGCATAAATGAGTCATGGGAAGATTTTCACCCCCAAAAAATGTATATTTGGTACCTAAATTTTACCCCTTTTATACATTCGTCTCTGCTACTTCATGTACCCCCCCCCCCCCCTTTATGACTCATATCTCAAACACAATTGATAACGATTGGATTTGCTCGTCGATCATTCATGGTGACCAAATTATAAATTTGATGTAAAAAGTAATGGCATTGAAGTTAATAATGATCTTTTGATCATATGATATGATGAAAGAAACAAAATTTTGTTAAAGATCTTACCGATTGATTGAACACTTTAAGTAAGCGATTCAACAGGGACTTGGACACCTTAAGCACACTACCATAATTCCGACGCACCCACGCTAATCGCTCTACCTCCGATTCCAACCGAGTCAACTCATTCAAACCTCTCATCAACTCGTTCATATCGGACACAGCACCAAACGACGCCATTCCTACATCTCGCCATGCGTAGTTCTTCAAGTAATCCCAGCCAACAGACCACATGACCCCATAGAAGCTAAACCCATGGCTATGTTTCTCGATCTTCTGGGCTATGGATCTAGCCCTGATTGAGCCGGAAATGTCACCACGGGCGGCGCGTAGGTTGGCGACACGGCTGAGGAGAGAATGAGAGAGTGAGAAGAGGAAGTGGAAGGAGGTTGTAGGGATGGGAAGAGAGTGGGAGGGTTGTGGCGTTGTAAGCAGGATGAGGGTGAAGAGGTGGAGGACCGTCGGTAAGGATTCTGGGGTTCCGATGGCCATGGGTTTATTTTTTAAAGCTTTTCCTCTAAAATAGTCAACAAGGTGCAAGACATTTTTGTTTTGGTGTTAAAATAATAACTGTAAATTACAGATTTGGTCCCTCTTGTTTGATGGTTTTTATAAAAATAGTCGCTGAATTTCATTTATTTATAGATTAGGATTTAGGACTTGTCGTATGTCTTTGTAACAAAGTGAACCCTTCCTCTAACAGCCATCCAGTTCTTCTGTTAAGCTTGAGAAATTTTAGTCGTTTTCCTTTTTTGTCTTTACTTAAATGATCAATTTCGTAAAAGCCACACAAACCACAGATACCAAATACATAATTAAATCTAAAAAGTAAAAAACATTAATTTTTTATACTTTAAGTTTATCAAAATGATTAATTATTATTCTTTAATATACATATATTAATTATAATACTTTAAGGGTGCGTTTGGTTTGCGGGATTGGAATGGATTTGGGGGGATTTGGATTTCAAATCCATTCCAATCCTGTGTTTGGTTTGTTGGAATGGTAGGATTTCAAATCCAATGAATCATCTAAAATCCCGTGAACTATGGATTTCAAAATCCTTTGAAAATACATGGGATTTCAAAATCCCATCCCCGTGGGATTTCATCTTCTCCATATTCTCGTCTCCCACAGCTTATCGCTCCTCCATTGATTGCTCACCATCGTCGATCTCGTCTCCATCTTCTCCCACAGCGGTCGTCGCTCCTCCATTGATTGCTCACCGTCGTCGATCATCGTCTCCATCGGTGGTCGTCGCTCACCGTCTCCATCACCCACCGTCTCCGTCGCCCACCGTCTCCGTCGCCGTCTTTTCTTGATGGTCCTCGCCGATAAACCGCCTTCTCCCATCACTCAACAAGTTTTTCCCCTTTTCCCCTTTTCGATTTATGTCTAAACTTTGAACACAGATTAGGGTTTATCCTTCACTTTTGACAGATTAGGTTGAAAATTCTAGTGTAATGGTGGTGATAAATTTGCCATACATACAGTTCGATGATTGCGTAATACTTTAGTTGTCTTCACTATATACCCTACCTAGTTCACCCTTCAATGAAGATCTGTTTCTTGGTGTGCTTATGGATGATGCTTATCCAAATCCAAATCCTGCAAACCAAACACAGGAATGGATTTTAAATCCTGAGAATCCAAATCCCATGGAATCCAAATCCTTCATGGGAATCCAAATCCCTCGTAAAAATTCCTGCAAACCAAACGCACCCTAAGTTTATTTTAATATATAGTATATTTTTTTCAAAATGAAATGCATTATGTACGTATACACACATATAGTGATGTTCAACGGTTCAGGAGAAACCATCTCTATCGATCATTAGATTACTTGATTTAATATGTGTAATTAAGTGGACGTTGATAACAATTTTTTTAAATTAAGAAATATCTCTTCACCACTATTTTTTATTCGAAAAAAATGAAATATAAATAAAAATTGAGCGAAATAAATTACATTCCAGTGATTTATTTTTTTATCCGTTCTTTTTGTAATTTTTCGTTTTTCATTTATTTAGCGTTTTTCTTTGAACTCAAGTCTCTCTCTCTCTTAACACAAAATAAACGAAAAACTGGAAAACCACGGAAAAAAAAACGGATGCAAAAAAAAAAAAAATATATATATATATATATATATCAATATGGATGTCAAATAATTGAGAAATATGGTTATTTTGGTGTAATTTATTTCGCTCGATTTTTGTTTGTATTTTGTTTTTTTTTTCTGAATACAAAATAGGTGAATGAGAGGTTTTTCTAATTTAAAAGATATTGTTGTGAACGTCAATTTAACTATATCCGTTAAATCAATTAATCTAATAATTGATAGATATCATTTTTTACTGAACCTCCATATATATATATATATATATATATATATATATATACACGTGTGTGTGCGCATGCTTGACGCATGTAACATTATTTTTTTGAAAGAGAATATATTATATATTAAAATTCAACTTAATATAATAACTAATATATATTAAAATATGATAATTAATTAATTTAATAAATTCAAAGTATAAAAGAAAATATTTTTATTTTATTTTTTAGACTTAATTACAAATTTGGTTTCTATAGTTTGTGTGGGCTTTACGAAATTGATCCCTTGAGTAAAGACAAAAAATGAAAAAGGACAAAAGTGCCCTCAAAATTAATGGAGGAACTGGATGGCTGTTAGAGGGAGGTACCAATTCGTTACAAAACGACATACAACGAGTCCTAATATATAATAAATAAAGTTCATGGACTATTTTCATAAAAATCACAAAACCACAAGGACCAGATTCGTAATTTACTCAAAAGATAAAATTGACTCAAGTAACATATTATTCAAAGCTACTCCTATACTCATGTCATGGATTGTTTCACTTTATAAATAAATTAGTGTTGTATATCGTGCGTTACACAGTGGCTATAATATTTTTAGAAAAAACATTTGAAGTGAGTTAAGTGGTATGGTCCTTTACGTATTAGATATTAAACTAATAGGAATCGATATTTCACTTGATCTGAAGTCACCTCACTATTTTTGTTTTTCTTTTAGCCCACCCATATTTATACATTTCAAAAACGTCCCCATCCTTTATATATATTTCAAATATATTCTCTAATTTATCATTTCAACACCAATGTGGAATGACCAAAACCAAACTACAATTCAAGATTTTAAAATACACAAATCAAATATAAAAAAATTTAGAAGTATTAGTCCAAGTTAAAGTAAAACGTATTTCTCTAGTGGTTAATTTGTATATCTATATCTATACTATCTTATAAAGCAAATATATAAAAGTCTTAAAAACAACTTAAACTGCATGAAGTACTATTCGTTTATACACAAAATGTTAAATCTCTTAACTACAACTTTAACAGCGTAAGATACAACTCCCCCATAATTAACATCAGTCCATCTTCTTCATTACTATTCCAACTGTTGGATCACCTATTGATTTGGTGATGACCCACTGATCTATTCCTCTACCTTAGCAACACTTAGTAGTTATTGGTTCTTTGTAAATTGGTGTCTTGGTACATACTTAAAGCCATTGGCAAAATCGAAGACTAGCC